TACCATTGCTGCTACTATCTGAGCCGCATAACTCATCATACATATTTGAACGCGGGCTCAGCCTTTAACTCAAAAGAATGTTCGAAATTTTCACGAACGTTTGGGATAACCTAATAGAAGTGCTCCTCTTTCTCCGACTGTTCTTTAATTTTCCATTTGTCCGAGACGACCGACAAAATCTTCTCAGAGCCAAAACTCATTTGTGAATGAAATGAAGTGCTAATAACCTTTTGGACATATCTTTGAGCTCTTGCGCAATCATGTTGGCATGGAGGCTTTATTAAGTCGTGTCAACTGTACATGTAAATATTGGACAATCTTGTCTCACCCTGCACCTCTAACTTCTTGTGAAGTACTCTGTAAACTCTTGGGCTATGTTGTGCTATATCCGATATACTAAGGATGGTTTCTAAGTCTGAACATTTTGACAAGTCTAACCGGGGTTCGCAGGTGATAATAAGACTGAAAGGATGTGGACAAAGTTATCCAATATTTACATGTATACACTTTAAAGCATTTGGTATGCTGACAAGTGCTCATAGGTCCGCCCCCTCTCCGGGCCAAGGTAATATTGGCGAAGATCGAAGCTATTACCGTTAATTTAGTACTTATCCAATGCCTCCAAGTGCATCAACATCGGCGACAACAATGGATGTTCCACCTGAGCTTTTCGTAGGAATGAAAAAGATCTGCGCAATCACCTGGTACAGCTTCTTGTGTTTGCTTTCGATCACCCTTCATACAGCTTTTATTGTGGTAAGTGATTTTGGTTCACTCGATAAATAGACAAAGTAAAAAAATAACGATACAAAAGTAGTTCTAGGAAGTTAATTAGCACAGAAATAGAGCATAATCAAGAGGGCTTTTGATTACAATGTGAAAACTACTGTGCGGCTTGTCCACTCCGCAGCGTTTTCATTAGAAGATTAGAATTTCTAAGAGGTAAAAATCTGAAGGCGAAATGTTAAGGGAGCGAGGAACTTCTGTGGATGGGAGGCAAACTTTTCATTCACACTTCTCCTTTTTCTCTCCAGTGTAGCACTTCTTTATTTCGCAGTTCTACTGACTGCATGCGCAACAGCAGCACTTGACATGGACTGGGAAACAAATCAAACATTGTGGATTGTAAGTTTTCAAAGTTGTTCAAATTTAGTTGAGTGGCTATGGCTGTGCCCTCACTTCTAAGCACTCTGGTCCTTCCCATGTGCTAAATGAGTGGTTGGCATGTCTTTGAAGTGTGTCTCTCTTGCCAGTCGAAGGAAAAACATGGCAAAAGAGTGGTGGTTGCTGTATAACACTTGGGACTCCACCTACAGGCTGAGCACGCAACACGTAACGCGTCGCAGCACCCGCTAAACGCCTAGAGAAGGGTCTACGGACACGAAGTCAACCCTTTGAACGCGTAGATTTTCTGTTTTTCTATGCACTCTCTCGTCCTGCATGGCACTATGGCCGTTGTGGCTTTGCACATTCCAGCTTTTCACCGATTAGGCAGCGTTCAGACTTCGCGACGGCAGCGCTTCGGTCGCGCGTTCGGCGCGATCGATGCGCATGCTTTCGACTGCATCGATCGCGTCGAACGCGAACTGCTTTCGCAAAGTCTGAACGCTGCTTTATAAGAAGTTGACCCACCCCGGAGTCCCTTCCCCTTGTCAAAACCCGTTATCTTTCTCGCCATATGCTTCTTGCAAGTTCCGATGCTTTGACAGCAGCTCTCCTATCGTGTGCGCCACAGGGTTTCGTAACAGGACCATGCACAAAAGTTCAAGATGCCACGTAATTCTAGAGAAGCCATTGGCGCTTCTTGTCTCGCCTTTCTCATTTGATTGGTAATCTGTGCTACACCAGGCCGCCGTAGAAAGCTTGTTGTTCAGATTTTCCGGTGCGGGACCTCAGCATCGACGCACGTGCTGAAGAATACAGACATTGAGTGGGACTAGGGTTAAGCATCACGTCGCGGAAGATTGGGAGGTTGATACGACCCTCCCCCTAGAAAGGGGTGTCCTTGCGACAGTAATCGTAGATTGCGTGGAAATATCTGCTTTTCTTCAGAATGTAGCTGTATATGTTGTGAGTTATGCGAATACCGATCAATCGAACAAGAAACTCAAATGAATTGAATTGTTTCCAAGAAATTTTGTAATGCAGGAAGAGTGACTTCGAAAAACTTTACAGTGGTGCTCCAAACGGAACAACACGAAGGCAACGCACTCAGCTACTGCAGCTGCGTCACTTACTGAAACTGGAGCCATTGGTCCATTGCATAGCATTTTCAAAGTGTATAATTTGCTTCAGTAATCATCTTTTGCACAGCCGTAAAGACGATTCAAGTTGTATGGCCAGGCTCTATACAAAATACACTATAGGTTTCATCAAGCTTGCATGACGGCTTCTGGCTAGAAAGTGACGCGGAGAATTTTGAGCAACTACGGGTTTTTCACTTCTCAATAAGAATGGCTTCGTCAAGACAGCGTGGAGTGGGGCTCTATATGGCGTTGGAAAGTAGATGGTTTTCTCTTTTGAGTGAGCTCAGCTCCTTTACTGTAGTTCGATTATAGCGAAAGTTCGCCCGTCGCGAATTTCCATTTCAACTAAAGTCGTTCTCAGCTGCTGCATGAGAATCTCTTCTTTGCAATGCCACATTTTTCTGTAGAAAGCTCGCTGGCTTCCCGTACAGCTCCTCCTCATATTTCAAATAGGAATTGATACACAGGGCGCTGGTCAACTTCTCCATGGAATGCGCCATGTACTCGACTTCCTTTCCGAACGCATCTCACATCGTGCAAGCTACGTCAATGCTGTGTTCTGTACTGATCTCCGCAGGTATGACCCCCACCCATCCTGAAGGGAGCCAGACACAACCTCTCATCGCGGATTTCCGCGACGTATGCTTCACCTTGGTTAGGACCCAGATAACGCCCATCTTATTTCTCGTCTAGCCTCACGCCCCTTTCAAATGACGAAAGTGGCAAAGTTCTACAGCTGCGGACCCTTTCATCTAGCACATGCCACGGATCAAACTTGTATGAGAGCGTACAGCTTGTCTTCAAGATATTACCGTTCAAAAAAAGTAAAGTATCAATTTACTCTTGGACTGAAAGTTAAAGAAGTAGCTTTCAGTTTCTTGGATCAGTTAACTGTGCTTGTTACTTCACAGCGGTCGTGCTTAATGTTGTAATAGCTTTACATCGACTTCTTTGCACGGCTTTCCCTACAAAAGCAAAAAAACCTATGTACGTTTCGGCCGCAAAGGTATGCTTTCATTGGTCATTCGGTATATGTTTACTCCCATAGAGGAATTTAACATGGTAGTAATATCCATGGAAAAAAACATGTAAAGGCGCCCTGAATCCGCATTGCAGAACAATTCTTCAAGAAAATAAGAATTCCACAAAAAAGGGTACGCGTGTCAATCTGCAGAAAAGGCTGTTCGGCATAGGCACTACCACTGCATCACCACTCATTGCTTCAGGCGGAAACGTAGCCGTGGATGGTATTGATCGGCGCCGATCAATAGTGTTCTGGGAGCATGGGAGAATGGGAAGATATAACCACAAATCTGATCTCAATCAGCAGCGGTCGCTAGTATCTCGAGAGAGAGTAGAAGAGTAGAAGGGTCTCAGGCTGTGCGGCTTAGGAACTGCATAATTAGGCGATTCTCAGACTCCTATTTCTCTATACTCTATCAAAACACAAGCGGCCGGCACCGATCTGCAATCTTTGACAATTGCATTCTCTTCTACAGCATTGGAGCGCCATTTGTAATAGTGGTGCATCGAAGGGCTTCATCGCAAAGTGTGAACGCTACCTTCATCTGCAGAATTGGTGGAACTACCAATTCTGCTATTCTACCATTTCAGCTTGAAAACAATCAGATCGAACTCGTACACGAAGAATGTGCGGGATCCGAGGGATCTCTGCCATGGAGTGTTCCGTTATGGCGTGATTGGAAACTGTATTGGGTGTTCGTATGTTCGTACCTGACTTGTGGATTTCCTGGTCAGCCCCGAATGTTTTTTTAATTGAATTTCTTGGTGCGTGCTGTTCTTGGTACGCGAATGTTAGTTAGTTTATTAGTGACTTAGTTCTGTTAGTTAGCTAGTAGATTATGAACAATGAAAATTGTTCATAAAAAGACAGCCTATCCATTGTTATTTATAACAGCCGCCATATTTTCTACAATGACTTACCAGAGGCATACTTCGTGATGAACAAGCAAGAAGTTCGTTGAAAGCGGGACTGAAAAACAGAAGCAGTGTGCTCCTTAACGTGTCTATGAAGAAAACAGTTGAGGGAAAATTAGAAAAACCTCAATATGAGGCCCCCTTGCTTTGTGCGAGAGACAGATAATCAATGTGGATTTCGAGCGAGGAGTCAGACCGAATCAGTGGCAACGCATGCAGGCCTGCAGTACAACAGACACAACTTCTATCAAAGCGGACGGAATCACTTCGGCGGTCATGGTGCTCCTACCTTACGATGCTCTAACGCGTAGATAGCAGAAGCGTGAGCGTGAAGCATACTGCGGTTCAAACTTCCTTCCCCACAGAGCTTAAGAGTTCACAAGAGAGCAAGCATTCTCCAAATCAACTCCTTGGCTATAGATCTCCTGCAGAACATAAAAAGTGGACGCTGTGCTACGGCTTCGAGCCATGGGAAGCATGGGCACGTCGTACGGAGTTCCGCTCTGTGTATACTTTAGACCGCTAATCTCTCAGGGCGGATTCCTCTGGAACTGTGCCTTTTCTACGGCTTCTTCCATGCTCAGAAAATTTGTTGGTCTGAAAAAGGAGTCGGCCTCACCTTTAAGCATTTCAAAACTTCACCGGCCTTGATTCCATGCATTTTCAAAATTTATCTATCGGCCAGCATCTTTCTCAACAGACAACTTTCAGATTACAACCCTCGTCATTGGTATAATTTTTGTTATCACTCTGATAGCTTTCAACACAGACTTGATCGGCTTTCGCTGGATTGCCGCTCTCATGCACTTTTCAGAAATGAGAAGTCGTAACGTTGTTCTCTATCGAGTGTGAGTTTCTCCTTGCTTTTGAGCCTAGAGAACGAATGCTCCGATGCGCAGGTAAGGGTACCAGTCAAAATTTTTTAAGCATTAGTATTAAAACATTTCGGAGTGATTCTGACACTTGGGAGCAGGGCACCATTGGGAAATGATATCCTTAGATTTTTTAAATCAAAAGTATAACTGCATGGGCTTCAAAGCAAACGTACCGCTTACCCTAGTCTGGTAGTTTCCTCGTCAACCTCCACTGAGCTTCAGTAGATGTATCCTCCCATTTTGACAGCAGTTGCCAGTTTTTCTTTCACTCGTCCGATGGACTCTCCCGCGGTTCAGGCCCATTAGGCAGCAGTAATGTGGTGGGCTTGAAATTCTACTAACCTATGTTTCCATCATTTCTGTTTGCTTTCAGCCTTAACACAATGTCAAATTATCTCATTGGAGTTGTTAGCTTTGTCGTGTATGCTGCAATGCTTCTTATACTTGCAAAAAAGAAGAAATTTTCGTTCACTGGTAGTTATGAGGTTAAAGTGACGTTGCAGGTAAGTGGAACAGTGACGGCAAAGGAACGTCGTCGGATGTAAGTGTACACTTTCTCTTGAAGATTGGAAATCTGACCTTTCATGTGAAATAAGCAGTACTTTCACGGGTTTCACTGCCCCCAACCTCAATATTCCGCGAATTGAGTGGTTTATCTAGGGCGTCTTAGCATGCATCTTTACGTGAGCGTGACTTTAAATTCAGGCTTTTTAAAAACCAAATTGCCAAATTCTTTTCGCAAAATCCTAGATTGGATAAGAGGGGGATTAGTAAAAAACGTCCAAACCATCCTTAGGTTTTATGCCCACAACTTCAATTGGCCGCTTCGATCTCTTGTCCTTTCCTCAATAGAAAGATAGGCTCTCGAAAGAAAGAATACATTCGATGTGAGGGAGTGAAGTGGTACGAGAAAAGATAGGATTCCAACAGAATATTCGGTGTTAAAGACACATGGTACGCTCATACACATTGAGGGTGTATGAGACTATCAGCCCCCCAGATGTCGATGTGTCGTGGTCCCCCCGCCCAAACATGCCCAGGAATGGAGATACAGGGCCGTGAAACACGCTAATTCTTCCATGCTCCGCCCACTGCCTTTTTACGGCGCAGATTCCCGCCGTTCATAACATCCGTCGTAAGCGCGCCTGTCGCGTGCGGCTCCTTGGCACTTTGCCAAGTCCTTTAATTGCGCTCTCAAATACAAGTAAAACGCAATTTCCTGATGCGGATAACATTGGAGGTGCTACAAAATAAGAACAGAAGATGATGACGAGGGCCAGAACTCAAGAGCAACTCGGCTGCATCCGCAGAATCCATCAGAGGCCGCGCATTCCCAGAAAACATGAGAATAAAAACAATCCAAGCGTCCCACTCGTTTGTTCTAAGTATTTCTATGGCTTTGGCGCCGGATCGTAGAAATTTACAGGCCAGTTTATCTAATTTGCCTTTCCTTGATTTTTTCATTTTTGTTTTGTTTACATTTACATCGTTGTGCTTCATTTCTAGCCTGTGTCATCTTCATCTCCTTGTACATGGATTTTGAAGCATGAGCAACACCTAAAATTTTATTCGCATCAGGAAATTGCCTTTTGCTTTATTAAACTAACGCTTTAGTCGTTCGTGGAAATACGTGGCCCGAGGGATGTTGCAGAAGTGGCACAGTTGCTTTTAAGTTCTGACCCTCGTCATCATCTTCTGTTCTTATTTTGCAGCACCTCCAATGTTATCCGCATCAGGAAATTGCGTTTTACTTGTATTTGAGAGCGCAATTAAAGGACTTGGCAAAGTGCCAAGGAGCCGCACGCGACAGGCGCGCTTACGACGGATGTTATGAACGGCGGGAATCTGCGCCGTAAAAAGGCAGTGGGCGGAGCATGGAAGAATTAGCGTGTTTCACGGCCCTGTATCTCCATTCCTGGGCATGTTTGGGCGGGGGACCACGACACATCGACATCTGGGGGGCTGATAGTCTCATACACCCTCAATGTGTATGAGCGTACCATGTGTCTTTAATAACCTCGAAAGTGGCATTCAAAGAACTCGAGCGAGACTGGGATTACAGTAATGAAGATCGAGACATCCTGCTAAGGATTATTACACAATGAGCCACCGGCGGCTCATGCGAGTGGCCATGTGGAACAATATGAGCCTTCGGTGGCTCATAGCGCACGCGAAAAACCCAATCCCACGTCTCACGGAACGCTTTCCCGTCGATCGAAATTGTCGTCAGTGTGTTCACTAATTCTCCGAATGCTTTTCCAAAATTATTAATGCCGTACCTTCCGGACAGTTGAGCTCTTATTATGCGGAACTTTAGATCTCGTTTATGATGATTGGTGAAATCTTATTCTTTATTTACTGGGAGTTCTTCAAACTGCAAGGATATGGAGCATGGGATCATGTAATAGCTGAAACTTCTGTGGTAGTTTTCTTCGACATCCTTATTGCTCCGTTTCTGATTCTTAACAAGTGAGTGAATTTGTTCTATTTCCACCCTCACTGTGCTATGAGAAACTATTTATTACTCTGAACGGCTTTCATTTCAGGAACATTCACTCTGAGCTGAAACGGATATATTTTGTGTACCGTGGAAAGAAAGGTACGGCTCTCACGACAGCAGGACAGAACTAATATGTGAAAGTAGAACAAAAATTTTGGAAAGTTATCTGTCTTTCCGAGCTATCGATGCCATCACAATAAGTAACTACGCCTTGGGTACTGGCAGTTTGCGGTGCAGAATGGGTCGAAATTTCCTGTACAAGGAAGAGAAGATAGAAATTTCGGGAAAATAAGGATTAAATTCCTCTAATTTCAGGAACAACCGATCGACATCTAGTACGCTCGACCACAGCAACATTTTAGCACGTTATTGGTTTCTCCACCGGCATGCTAGAGCATTCAGTGAAGAAGATCAAGATCTAGATTTCTTCACTGTAACTTTTTTAGACAATAATATCTTTCATAAGTTGCAGTCGTGAGAGGCATGCACAGGGTACAGCATCGTTGTGCGAAACCCTTAAGGGGGGGGGAGGGTCGTACTTGGCCGCTGGGAGGCAAGATGTTAAAAAAATGAAAATTATTATGAGTGTATTCTTTACAGATTTAACTGCTACGTTTAACAGCCCTCTTTTCATGCGAAATCCCCAAAAATGGGTTCGTACTTGGCCGCGGGGGACGTGGGGAGTATCGCAAAAGTAGGCTCGCTAGGCATCAAACAGTACAAAAGTGTCATTGCTAAGTTTGATGGAACGGACGGAAAGCTGCAGAAGACCCGGATGTAAATAGGACCACAAAATAATAAAAAATTCGCAAGAATAAATAAATAAATAAATAAATAATTATCAGTTAATAGCATGAACTCCGTTAATAGCATGAACTTCTAAGTACGTAGATGGATAAATAATACGTCTCAAACAGATTCGTGCGTATTGTCCTTTACAAACCCTAAACAAACATCTGCTTGCATGGATAAAAGCACCTGAAATCAGAATTTACACCTTTCCACCACCTCTGCGTAGGAGCGTAATGCACGGCGCACACTCAAATCGATCAGTGATAGCCGAGCTCCTCTTTCACTCATTTGAAGGGAAATATGTGTTTTGAAGGCACACTGAAGTTTCCGAAGGTGTATCCTCACAATGGCACAGAGTCGATTTTTCGGGTGGGTCAGAGGGTAGCGCGTCTGTGACCCATCTAAAATATCTCCTGAACTAGCGGGTCTTCAGGAAAACTGTAAAGCTTATTGGAAAGAGAAAAGATAGGGCGGTTTCAAGACGATTTTAATCCTGATGAAATTGCGTTCGAAATAAGTAATCCTCGTGTGAAGCATAAAAACCCGCTTGCCATTTACCCCTAGCCGATCCGAAACCCATCCGAAATATTTCACGAACGGGGAAACATTCAGATTGCAACTGGGTAGAAAACGCAACAGTAGGAACATTCCCGTTGCATGCTGCTAACCATTCATCAAAAGCCGCGCCCCTCAAAGAGATATAACCCCCCCCCCCGAAAAGACCCCAGGACGTTGGCAGGCCCAACAACCGCGCTCCAATGACGTTTTTCCAATGAAAGCGGTCGCAACGTTGCGATCGATAATAGCCAAGTATAGAATATATATAACGGTATAATATGACGATATACTGCCGCCTGGTTATCCATTTTTTTCATTTGGCTCCGCATTTTTTGTATTTTTCATGTTTCGCTTTGTTGTGTCGTGCATGTTTTCATGATTTCCCCGTCACCATTCATTGAATGCACATCTGGGCCCTGACACGCTCACCTTGGGGCTATTTTTTTCAATTTAGCCTATCAATGATCACCATTAGTCGCTATTTCAATTGTGTTTTTTGTTACAAGTTGCATGGTTGCATGGCGTAGCAGCGGCATGGTATATGGTTGTCGAACGGCGAGTTTTATTCTGAATCCTAAGACAAAATTGTAGGTAAGTGCGAGGCTGTTGTTCAGCCTCATATTGCATGAGGCTGAAACAGCCTATTATTGCCTGGATTTTAGAGCAGAGTCCGCCTTTCAGCATGCATCTGGTTGTCAGTTTGAGCAGGAGGGGGGGGGGTCGTTTTTGCATAGCACTCGCCGATCCTCCTTTGCGTAGCTCAAGTTGAGTTCGAAGACAGTCTCAAGTGGTCGATGGTGTAGTGGATAGGTAAGTTGCTTCATAGGGGAAGGTCATGGGTTCGGTTCCTTGACAAGTTCGCATTTTTGCATTTTTTCGGATCTTCTGCGAGTTCAGAGAATATTTCTATCCGTTATTTTGTCAAGCTTGCTCTTACTTGCAGCAGGAAAAGACTTAAGTGCCGGCAATTGTGCTTCGCTTTCAAGACTTTTAGGCAGTGTTTACCCTTTACTGCCCAAATCACCCGAAATCAGGCCAGTTTTTGACCGACTTTTTCTCCGTGAGCAGAATTGGCTAAAAAGTTGTCTACTAGGGTAGTCTGACCTTCTGAGCATGAATATCACATCCGCTCGGCACGAAACCTCCTAGCGCCCGCGCCACAGGCGCCAGCGCCAAAATACCCTAAATCACCAAGTTCGCTGAAAACTTGTCAACTGGGGTAGTTTGACCTCCTGGACACAAATATCCCATTAGCTCAGAAACGCCTGGCGCCGGCGCCAAAATACTCGTAATCACCAAAATCGCTAAACTTTTCAACTGGATCAGTTTGACCTCCTAAACACGAACATCACATCTGTATGGGGCGTTGAGAATGTTAAGGATAGAGAAAAGGGGTAACGTGATTGGCAACCTGCGTCTGCACCCCTCCCCTGAGATGGGGACCTTTCTTTGCTAAGGCTCAGCCTAATCGAAGGAAAGGATTTCTGTGACAGGCACCCAACAGCCCTAGCACACAGTTCCGTACGAAAGCGACTGGCAGTCTGTGCTACACGCGCCGGAGTCGGAACAAGCATGTGATGGGTCGCTTGTGGCGTATGCGTCAGGCGGTTTCAGACTGTACGGATGTGATATTCGTGTTAGGGGGTCAAACTACCCCAGTTGACAAGTTTTCAGCGAACTTGGTGATTTAGGGTATTTTGGCGCTGGCGCCTGTGGCGCGGGCGCTAGGAGGTTTCGTGCCGAGCGGATGTGATATTCATGCTCAGAAGGTCAGACTACCCTAGTAGACAAGTTTTTAGCCAATTCTGCTCACGGAGAACAAAGTCGGTCAAAAACTGGCCTGATTTCGGGTGATTTGGGCAGTAAAGGGTAAACACTGCCTAAAAGTCTTGAAAGCGAAGCACAATTGCCGGCACTTGAGCCTTTTCCTGCTGCAAGTAAGAGCAAGCTTGACAAAATAAGATAAAAGTATTTTCTAAACTCACAGAAGATGTTCCGAAAAAAAGCAAAAGACCGACCCTTGTTAGGGAATCGAACCCATGACTGACCTCCCATCTATGAAGCAACTTACCTATCCACTACACCATCGACCGCTTGCTCCTGTTTGTACTCGAAGTTAACTTGAGCTACGCAAAGGAGAATTGCCGAGTACTATTCTGGAACCGCCCCCCTAGAGAATAGATCGGCAAATTCCGAAAGCAGATTTGAGTTCAGCGTCCCAGGAGGCACACGTCAATATGCATCTCATTTTGAATGGCCATGGCGATCAGGGCACATCATTGGTTGGGGATTTGATCGAGCTCGTACGACCCCCCTTTTTGGAAGGTTCGATACGACCCCCCCCCTTTTTTTACTGTTTGACGTTACATACTTCCTAAACTTGAGAAACGGGCACTATTGAACTATGGAGATTTAGACGAACCTACGCGAGCTCATCACCAAGACTTCGACAAATGTGATAGAAAAGAATCAGAAATTCAGCATTCTCTCATCTTGAATAGAATAAAATGTATAAAAAGAAACATCGTCAAGAATACTTGAATAGTACACACTAAGAACACACCACGCTGACGTTTTTGCCAGTAAAACGGTATTCTCATCAATCATTCACAATAACAAGGAGGAGGTTTGAGGTTCAAAATTCGAAACTAACTAAGGAAAAACCGGACGACCATTGGAAAGTGGGGTAAAAATCTATACAGGGGGGGGGGCAAAAAAGTCACTTCGACCGAGTCACATATCAGCAAAGTTTTCGCAGCCCAGACAGAGGACGTGGATACGAGTACCAGGGCGGAAGATACCCAAGATGTTCCTCGATAAGCAGGAGCTGGCTCTCGCCCATCACCTTCATGTACACCAAAATATGAAGTCATCTCCAGTCGCAGCCTGACTGGAGAAGACCTTTGGAATTCATGTCACCTCCAAACAGCTGCGAAACTTCTAGTGTGGAGTCACCCATGGATAGCTACCTGGAGACCAGTGCTCTTGATCTGGAAGACCTCCAACATCGAGCAGCTCCGACAACGTCGCCACGGTCTAGGACATCATCTTCACCACAGTCGCCAAGGCCGGGTTGATGGTATGGACCCCGAATGTACATGGAATGGAAAGAACAGTATTTTCTTCGTGGGCGGAACTGAACGATCGAGCGCTTCGCGCGATTACATCGACATTCGTCATGAAAATATCCCTCTCACATGATCCTCTCTGTATGCTCACAGTCACTGTACTGCTACAGCATTGGGTGCCACCACATGGAATCGAAGGGCATTGGAGAAACTCTCGCCTACTTGGAATGGAAGGGGGCTGAGTACCTAAAGAAGATGGAATATCCAAGTAGGTCACCTGACCTGAATCCCCTCAATTACCCGGTTCGGGCGGAGTTCAATAGGGTGGTCTACGGTGGCGGAGAAATCGACTATCTCGCTGATCTCAGGCACCACATCGCGGTCGCGTGCCAGAATCTCTCGATGGCGCTCGTCCAGAAGGCTGTGGCGGAGTGTCATGATAGTATTTAATATGCTCTTTCAATATGGTGGTAAAAATGTCCGATCAGAATTTAATAAAGTGTAACTTATAGCGCCTCGAAAGTCAATGAAGGAAAGTGACTTTTTTGCCCCCCCCCCTGTAGATATCATCAGGGCTACCGAAGTTATTTATTTATATGTAAGCGTGTGTAATTAAAAAGAGGATGAGTAGCATACACATTGACACACTGCACAAAAGTGAGTTAAATGAGAATGGAGTTAAAGAGATCAGCTGGGAAACTTGCCGAGGTACG